ACCCCCTGCCGCTACTGCATCAGACGTCAATAAAAATTCCCCAGTGAATATCATTCACTTACGATACTCGATTTATACCCGACGATCTCTTCGTCGGGGTCGTCTGCTTGGAGGGTGTGAACACTGGTCCCATACCTGGTGGCCCAGAATTCTTCTTCGGCGACGTGAATGGCGAGACATGCTGGGCCCCTGCGCCAGAACTCAGGACTGAAGTCGACGCGCCGCCCGGCGCGGCACCACTTGCTGACGTGGCTACAACGGACGGCTTCGGCGACTTGATTAGAGAAGCCGGTGCGGGAGGCACCCTCCAGGGTGAATCCGCCCCAGCTCGTGGCAGCCCTGAGGGCGTTTTCGTCGCCCTCGCCTTCGAATGCTGAGTTGTAGGGATTATTCGCTGTGGTACGCTACTTCCCTCACCACTAGGAACACGAGAGATTGGACCGGGAGCTGTTCGCTTTGCCGTTGACTGCGCCTCAGCCATAATGGCCCTCATGTCCATCCTAGAAGAACATATGAGACTAATTTCTCTGTCAATGGACGGAACATACTTGGGAGTAGACGATACCGCTTTCCAGCCACTTGCAGGCTTACTCTGTGTATCAGTGTCGTCAGATTTTGCGAACGCCGTTAAATTAGGAGCGGTGGCACTGGAGGCCACAACGTCGTCCATCACGAACATCTCCTCATCCGCAGGAAGCACTGCGTTTAACCGATTAGACTGCTCAGGACGAATCGACGGACTCGACGGCGGAGATGTTTGCGAGAGCTTGTGAGCTCTCTTGTTCGGCCCCGGTGGCGATAATCGCGGTGAGTCTCTGAATATCCCGAAGCGTTGGGTCGGAACTATTGGCTGGGGTATGTCTTGCGAAGCTAACCATGGCCCGTACGTCTCCATTGCAGCGCGAACAAGTACATCTGAGCGCGACACCGGATATTTTTCAACCTGTTTTTGACGTATAAATGAGGACAATTCTCTGATCCGATGAGCCTCCAGATCGTCAAGCATTCGACTCTCAAGCAAAGTCTCCATGCAAAGCGCGATATACTCGTGGACAGCGCGCACCAGGGGCAAAATATGGAAGTGGGAAGCTTCGGCGAGGATAGAAGATGCGTTGTTGACACTAACGCATTTCAGAATGACGTTAGAACATAGCAGAATGAGGCGATCAACCAACAACTCGTTCTTTTAGAGAAGATCAGCGAGAATTGGCGTGGATCTACCAGAGTGACTTACGGCAGCTGCAATCACCTCGAACATAAAGTCAATTAGCTCGTCCGTGGACTTGACGCTCTCTGTGATTGAGAGTAAGCGGCTGCACAAAGTGAATTAATTATCCATTTACCGAGGATTTCAAACATCTCCTCATCTTCACCACAACACAGGAAGCGCACGACAAATTCCATTTGGCGCCATCTCAAATGCTTGAGATCCATAACGACAACATCAGCCGCATTCCGGCGATTGGCCGTCCAATCGCTGTCATTGAAGAAGTCCGCGAAGAACGAGGAGCGTGCTCGAAGTATCGAAGAATAACTGTATATATTGCGATCTCCTAGGCATAATGTGGTATCTGCGGCCAATAGATGATGAGAAGGAAAAGGATCTTGCTCCTGTTTCTTGAAAAGACGCTGCATGTCTCGCACCATAGACGACGCAGGCATGCGTTTAACAGGCGCCTCCAATGCATACGCGAGTAACGGAAGATTCAGAATACCCGCAAACGCGTGTAAATCCAGCTTGACCTGTGCAGGCTTGATTTTCAACTGAACAAGATCAGACTCAACGGCCAAGCCAACGCGGCGGTCCCATAGGGCTGGGATATTATCCGAATAGAAGTAGACGAGTAGAAGCAAGAGGGAAATCGTTTGACACCCTGAGAAGCTAAGCACGGGATGTTTAGATGAACCCTCTCTGGCCGACGACAGTTCAACCGATATATTCGATCCATGGTCCCTGAGAGCTGGGCCACCGGAGAGCAATTGTGCCAGAACAGTACTGCGCGCGGCGAGGATGACGCGATGAGCTGGAAACTGGAATGTCCTCTGAACCTGTACCAGGAGATCAGGACCATGAGCGACACGGCGAGTGCCGAAAAAGCTGGCTTCTTCGCCTGGCCTGCAATTCTGCCTGATCTCTTGCAGAAGGGAGCATAAGATTTTCAGCTGCTCGATATCGTGCTGAATGGTGATATCCTCCACTTCCTCCTCGAACTCAGGATCCACAACGTTCTTGATCTCGCATGGTTTCCTGTCGGTGGGCAGTGGCCGGCGGCTATCTTTCTCGCACGAAAGTTGTATATAAGGCTGAATCTCCGCCAAATCCTGCGCCAAGAGGTGTCCCCGGACTTCGATCGGTGAAGGCCTGTGATCAATTCGCAATGCTCCATACGCGCCCGTCTCGTTGGCACACACTCGCACAACACGCTGGAGATACGGCACCTGTTGGAACTTGAACGCCTTTGCGGACGTACCCTGCCCCGCCTTCGCATTCCGTTGCCGCACGAAAACATGACCGGACTCGGTGCAGATGACAATCGAACCGTCTGTGCTCAGGGCGACGTCCTGAAGGTCTACTTAGCTAGGTATGTTAGTGGTCAGGTTTTAGCAACGTACCCTGACAGCGCTAAATTTCTTCCGCAATGCCCATACACGTTGTGGCACGATCACATTACGCGTTTTGCTCGAGATTGTCCCTGTACCCGTAGGCGGAGGAATCGCCAGGGTAAAAAGCTCACCGTTGGACGTGAGCGCGGCGAGGACATTGTCACAGCCGGTGATTTTTTCAATGCTCGCATTGTTAATCGCTTGGGGAGGCCGATACGCAGTGATTTCCGATGGAAACGCGTGAGCGGGAAAGCTGTGTAGGGTAAGTTACATCTTGCAATGACCAGTTGTACGCTCCCGCACGCACTTTACTTTAAAATGCCCATCGTTACACAGGACAACGACGTCCTTCGTCGCAAGGACGCAGGCAAGCGCGGTGTCCTGATCCACAACTCAGCTGAAAGAATAAGAGGCAAGTGCGACGACGCACCGTGATCGTTATCGAAATCACCGGCTGCGAAATTTTGGTTACAACGCGAGGCAAAACCTGGACAGGCTGCGCGGACTTGTCGTATCCTGGAAACAAAATCAGGTATTTCGTAATCGCGAGCGCGAACGCGGTTACCTAGTTGCCCATTGTTAGTGCCCCAAGTAAACACTTCGCTTTCAGTCCAACACGCAGATGCTATCTTACACGCTGCGACTCCTGCGACAACTTTGTTCTTCAATGTACCAGTCACCTTGCGCGCTGTCGCCTGGATTGGTTCCTCCGACCGGCCGAGCCCACTCGCATTTGTTACCGGTTCGATCACATATCCCAACTGAGAAAATCGGTTGAGCCCCCAGCTGAACACCTCCCCAGATTTGGACAAGGCGAGTGTGTGATCCTGGCCGAGCGCAACGGCAATGATGGTCTGCGTCAATTGCGGGAGAGGGACCAGACTATACTGCGTGTGTTGGCCGGGACCCAAGCTACAAAGCATAAAAAGTCGTTCGGAAGAGGATTCGCAAGACAGGATAAAACGTACCGTCCGCCGCTACCAAAACCGCACAGCCGCAGATTACCTCGATCTTCAGCGGTCACGACAACTAGCAACCGTCAATGCGACAGAAAAAGCCGAAGCGAACGCCGCTTACCTGTATGCAACTTGGACATGGCGACTTGCTGGACATGGATTGGGGAAAATCGCGCTTCAACACTCTCCTTCTCTGACACGGACAGTCCATCGGCCGCACGGATAACGACCTGCTCGGGATGCAACCTGTCGTCTCCGTTCCCCAGACCCAGAGCCGCATTCCTATTCGCGCCCCATGTAAACAAGTCTGCAAGTCGGGTATCGTCCGTATCGATCTGGGTCCCTTCGACAGTGGAATTGTAGAGATTGTATGCGGTGTACCCTTCATTGTCTTTGACTGACGTATCAATATCGGGCCGCTGCAGCAGTAACACCGCCGTGCCGACATTTCCGTGATATGCTGCGCGATGGAGTGCAGTCCAATGGTTCTCCTTGTCCGGTAGGTTGACGTTGATGTCTGGATGGGCGAGAAGGAGGCGCACGTACTCTATCGCGGACGGCTCCTGCGACGATGCAGCCAAGTGGAGGACAGACCTACCCAGCCAATCACGCGCGTTTACATCGACGAATGCACTGCTGCTCAGCGGACTGCGCCGGTTCCATGACCTTCCACCGCTAGTGCTGGGCCCGGCGGGCTGGCCGCGATTGCTACTGCCATCGAGCAGGCGCTGGAAAGCCTGCTGGTTTCGTAGGTTAAAGTACGCATGGAGCTGGGTCATGCAGGCTGGAAGAGCACCGGAACGAACGACCTAGACAGAGTCCTGGCGACTCCTCAGCTAGATCGTGCGGTTCCCGATAGCTACACCTCGAGAAGTGCAGCTGTGATCTAGTGTAGAAAGGCGACGCAGAGAGAATAAATTATAACAAGAAAAGCGAAGGGAGTAAGCGCAGTGTTACAGAGACCAGATGGCAGTTTAGAGAGAGCAGCTTGACTAGAACTAGCTCTCAGAGCAGAGGAGCTTGTTCAATCATATCTACGTCACGTGAGAGGGATATCTCTTGACTCAAGCGAACGCACGTTGGGGAGCACCTGAGATGTGCGCGCATGAATCATAGATGACTGAAGTAGATAATTTTCGTACGAGTATACAAATGGAGTTCCTAGTACCACGACAACAACGATCCGCCCGGGATCGAAAGGCACGTTTCTCATTCCCCGCCCACGTTCGCACTTAGCTATCCAATAGCGCCGCCGCCTTGCGCGCGTTCGCTTTGATGCTCTCGACCTGCAACTCCAGGTTCCTGATCTGTGCTCGAGCCTCGCGCAGTTCCATATTCAGGCGGACGTTTTCGTCCTTCAGCGACGCCACTTCCCCGCTCTGAATCGTCCAGGTCAACATACAATCGCGCGGCAACGTACGCAGACAAAACTTACCTCACTGAGACCCGGCGTCTTCGGTTCGACTGGTGTGTACAAGGCTGGACTCGACTCGGGCTTCCTCGCCACGGGGGAAGGTACAGACTCGACTTGAACGGATATACTTGGCACGGATACAGGAGCAGGAGTCGGTGCGCTCGTCGTCCTTGTAGGAGTGGAAACAAACTGCGGGGCAGGTGTAGACGGCACAGCCGATGGAGGGGCTCCGACGGAAATCGCACCCGTATCGAGACTGACAAGATTTGGTGGAGCAGCCTTCCCAGAGAAGAATTCGCCGGCAGAGAGAGCGGGATCGGCAGACGGTGCAGGGGGATAAATGTCAGATTGGAAGGAATCGGACTATAAAGACAATTTAAGTCTTCATGAACAGGGAGAGAACGAAGGAGTCACAAGTTGTTACCTTTCGGGGAACGATAAAGGCAATAGCTTCTATTGAAGAAGCAGCGACCTTATAAGCACGGGCGATCTCGCACTCTGCCACATTAAGAGCACGACGAGGCAGGAAGCACATGCCCCGCTGTGGATCAGAAGACTTGTATTCGGAGAGTCCAAATAGCTGGTCGTTCTCATACTCATAGTACCTGATATTACCATCTCTAAAGAAAATGTCAGTCTATGCTACGGAGACAGACTGGACAAGTCTGGACGTACCCTTTACCAGCTGTGGAACCGAGCATCTTCCGTTAATACTCAAACTGGCTTTGAATTGACGACACCTTACCGAGGAAAAGGATGTTATTATCAGACCAGAACGGCATGAGTACACCCGACGTCTGATCAATAGTAGTCATCTTCACATTTCCAAGTCCTCCGGTCTCCCATATTGCAACTTGACGGTCACTCATCTTGCTGAATCCAGTTGTCACAATATTGTCTCGGTCGCCCATCCAGACTACGCGAGCACCCTAGACGAGAATGAATGAATTCGATGCATGTCACACGACCACTCGCACGAACCTTGATACCACCGTGTCCCTCGGCTATACGGACAGCCTCACCACTCGCACGAGGATCAAATAGTCTAATTCTACGGTCCCTGCACGTCGTGACGAGCAAGTTACCGGACGGGTTGAATGCCAGGCTCTGTATTGCGTCTCCATGACCGCTCAAAACAGCCCTTGCGTTCTCTGGATTGGCCAGATCCCACAGCTTCACAACATGGTCACCAGTCGTGCTTGCAAGCACGTTGTTTGCTGTCGGATGGAAAAGGACTTGTCCGACACGACGTGGTGAAACATCAATCCGTGCAACTGGGTCGAAGTCCTGCGGCTCCCAGTGTTCGAGGCCCCATCCTTCGAACACAGACGATTCAACCTTCCAGATCATGACTTTTCCGTCGTCGCCGGCAGAAGCCACGACGGAGTCGTTGAATGGGGACCAATCAGTGTCGAGCACAGGCGCTGAGTGACTGCGGGCAAGAGGAACCAGATCTGGCAGCTTTGAAGGAAACCCGTGCGGAAGAGGATCGAATGGTGAGGGCAGAGGGAGGATACCAAATGCTCCACCTCCAGATGCATTCCAGTTGATACTGATGTATCGCTAAGGACGATTCCTTGCATAAAGTCGGGTGCAGCAACAACACATTGACGACTCACCGACGATGCGGACACAACGTTAGTGTCCCATGCACTATTCGACACCTTGATATTATCTAGACCATATTCTTTCTTCCCCTGCTGTCCAAAGACGTGCCTGACACGTTTCATTAGGTATGCACGGCTGGACAATGCTGTTACCCACCGATATTTGGATGCCCTCACGAACCGCGACATTCTCGTTATCCTCTAATTGGTTCGTCACCTGGTCGACACAGCAGCTGATCAAAGAAACCGAATGCCGAGCTTGGAATAGAGAATCGCAGTGTAAGACTTGCAGGGTGAAGTGGTATCGTTGTTCCCTGCGGGTAGACTTCTGAATCGAGAGGGAGCAGTGGTATCGATGCTGGCGCACTGCATGATCATATTGATGGCCAAGTATATAAAAGGAGATATCCGGCGGCGTTGAAAATACGTGAGTTAGTCGATCAAAAATATTGTGTAGCCTTTTTACGTTATATGTACGCAGAGCGTGTCGCTGTGAAAGACGGCTAGTAGCCGTCCGTCCGGCCTTCCGCTAGTGAGTGCAGCCTCCTTACTGACCGCGCCGAGAGTGTACCAGTTCACGACATGTCAGTTCTTCAATGGGCTTCTAGAGCAAGCTCTTGTTCGCGTAGCGTAGCGCAGTCTGGGAAACTGAGCCACTGGTCTCGTTTTTTGGCCACCACATCAGGGGAGGTATGTGTCGTTCGCATCTGGTCTGGCAAGCAAGCGGTGACATTGAGCCCATATACTCCAGCTTAAAAGAACATCCCTGTACGACTTTCACGTTCAGAATGGGGCCAAGATGGTTCCTTTCGCTGGCTACTCGATGCCACTCTCATATGGTGATGTTGGAGCGGGTTCGTAATCTGAATGCACGTATTTGTGAAAACACCGCTCAAAAACCATGCAGTGGCCAGTCACCATCATGTTCGAAACTCGGTAGGAATCTTCGACGTGGGACATATGGTGCAGTCCAAGTGAGTTATGCAAGTTCGGTATGGGGGAGCGCTTCGTGACATTCTATGCGAGCCAGTTTCCGAGGAGCAACAACCACCGCCTTCCTTGAATGGCTGACACCTTCTTCCTTACATCAACTGCCCCATTACTCCTCTACCTTGTCTGTTCTGCTCAATGAACATGGTGGCATCATCGACGATACCGTTATCACCAAACACGCGGACGATGCGTATTACATCGTAACGAATGCAGGTCGCCGTGACCGTGACCTAGCGTGGTTTAAGGAGCAGCTAGATAAATGGAACATGAGCGAGAAAGCGAAGGATGGTAAAGTTGAGATGGAAATCCTCGAGGGTTGGGGTCTTCTGGCCTTACAAGGTGAAGATTTGCGTGATAGGTCATGGGAAGGCACTTACGTGGACTTCCAGGTCCCGAGGCTGCTCAATACCTCCAAGGCCTTACGTCCTTCGATTTACAAGGCCTGACCTTTGGGAAGTCTGCCTTTGTCCCACTTGAAGGCTTCAATCTCCACGTTGCCCGCGGAGGATACACCGGAGAAGATGGATTTGAGGTACGGATACTATGAATATCATAGTCGCGTATCTTTTGGCTGATTATTTACGCAGATATCCATACCGCCTGCTCACACCGTCGATGTTGCCAAATTGCTATCCAAGTCTCCAGTTCAGCTCACAGGATTAGGTGCCCGTGATAGTTTACGTCTTGAAGCTGGCATGTGTCTGTATGGTCAGGATCTCGACGAACAAACAACCCCCATTGAAGCGGGGCTGACCTGGGTCATTGGTGCGTTGTAGTATTCTCCTAGGTTTTGACCAGTGGCTACACGACAAGCAGGCAAGAATAGGCGGGGGAAGGCAGACTTCATTGGTGCGGAGGGCGTCCTGAAGCACTTGAAAGACGGCCCACCTAGGAGACGGGTTGGCATGATTGTGGAGGGTGCTCCTGCTCGACGTACGCTATGTCAATTATACAACATGTAAAACGCTAACTTGGAAGCTATTACAGAGGGAGCAAAGGTTTTCGCTCCTTCTGGCGGTGACCTCATTGGTGAGAATGGACTCAGATCTATATTGGATGCTGATAGTAATTGCCTCTGTAGGGACTGTTACCTCCGGAATTCCGTCGCCCACCTTGGGGAAAAACATTGCAATGGGCTATGTCCAATCGGGGTGGCACAAGAAGGGCACGGAGGTTGAAGTCGAAGTTCGCAATAAACTGAGAAGAGCGACGTTGACACCGATGCCTTTTGTGACAACGAGGTACTACAGGGGTACCTGAGCTGCGTCGGTATCAGTCATGGACGGATCATCGCATGACCACGGTACCTATCCGTTGGGAGGAGGTGGTGGGAGCATTGCATGTACTCGGTCATCACAATCATACGTGCAGATCTTGTTTTCGATTGACCTCGAGAAGGTAGTGGATGATCTTTATTGCGATTCATAAACGCATCAACCGATCATGAGACATGACACCGGTGACCACGGGCAGAACGCGGTGTCCGCCCGTCGAGCATGTGCCAGACATGCACCAAAAGAGATCGCTTTTTCACTCGATTTTCCAAGCTCGAGCATTGGATATCACATTCGGGCACTGGACATGGCAGATCGGTAACCTCTGGCCCTTGAGGGTCCACAACAGAAACTGGATGATTTACTCACATGGTGCAACAAAAGGCTTACGAGGGTCAAAGATCAGTAGGACCGAGTATATGGTGTTCGAGACACCCTGGCGCACAAGGCCTTTTCTCTGCATGTGAATCGTGTGGCCACGGCTGCGCGCCGGGTGGCGTATGCTGCCCTCTCAGTTGAGTCCTATGTGGGCTCTTTATCGGCCCACATCCTACAGAAACTCTACCGTTCCATGCTGGTGGACCCACACCTTACTGCGGTATGTGGAGTAGCCTTGGGCATACGGGAAAACGCCCTTGCGGACCTGCTGTCAGTGCAGACGACCTTCCTGCGTCGAGTGCTAGATCTGAATCCACGCTCCATGTTGGCGGTCCTCTATTCCGAGATAGAGATCTGGCCCTTAGGCCTTAGGGTTCTGCCGGTTCCTTCTGACACCACGCTACCTCCGCTATATCATCGCGGTCCGTCCACCTTTCCCCTTCGCAGCATTGGCGGAGGCCTGCGTCCTGGCCCTTGAGGCTTGCAGGCCACCCTTCCTGGCTGGGCGACCTACACCACGCCCTCGCCGCGTTGCCAGTCCCAGTACATTTCGACCTCCGGCCTGGTCTCACCGTCAACTCGGTGGATGAGGCAATCACGGGTCTTGGTCGGGCAGTGGGAGACGCGGTTCGGGGTCACCTTCTGGCGTCGGTGCGGGTGCCCCTCCTGCGAGGTCGGCGGGTGTACATCTCTGGCAGAACTCTCAATCAGCTCATGCCCACCGTTGAAGTTTCGGGCGTACCTGACCGTTGACGTTGAGGCCTGAGGAGGGTGCCGACGGGCTCGCACTGACGCGTCTCCTGTGCGGCGATCACCCTCTCGCGGTTGAGCAACTCCGCCGAACGTTTCCTCCCGTCCCTTGCGACCAGCGCACTTGCCGTTTCTGCCGCTTGAGTAGCGGCGTCACGGCGTGGAGGACGAGGCGCACGTCTTGCTCGATTGCCCCGACACGAGGCTGGTGGTGGTGCAGGATCCGTTCCTTTGCCGATATTGTCCATGCGGTGCCCGTGCTCCTGCATATGCGCCGCTAAATAGTGTCGCTGGGGTTGGTTTGCCGCCGTACTTGAGCGACGGATGTTAGTAGCGCGTGCGGCGCGGGTGTATGACCTCTGCGAGAGCGTCCCGGGGAGGTGTTCCCTTGTCATCTTGTACTCGGTCGTGTCGATATTGACTGCATGGGCGTCGATATGACTGATGGGCTACCTACAGGATTCTGATTAGTGAGTACCTGGAGGACTGGGGCGGTGTCTCGCGTTTCTCCCCATGGGGTGGGAGCGCGTGGGTAATGGCGCCATAGTGACCATACCGGCCGGGATCGCGCGTACAGTCTTTCTCTCTAAGCCATGGCGTTCGCGGCGGATGTGTGTGTGATGCGATGTGTGTGTGCTGTACTAGGGGTGCCTGAAAGCCTTGTGCCGGGCTTAGTGTTATATGACGTAGCTGTAGCGCCTTTGCCAATATTATCTCCTCCTCCTCCTCCTCCCCCTCCTCTTCCTCTGATTGATCTGCTTGCCATGTCCTTTGCACATAAAGTCCAGCCGAGCGATTGCGCTTCGAACAATGCAGGGAAATACAATATCTCGCGGCCAATTTCTAACGCGTCCTACCGCCGGCAATGGCAGTTGCCATAAGTTGTCTCAATAGTTCGGACTGATGCCTACCATATGGGTAGGAGTGATGCCCGGCTATAAATGGTTACTTAATAATGCCAGGAGAAATAAGATTTAATATAATGCACGCGAGAGTAGCGTGGATGTAGTGACTATTGCATGGTTTCTATTAATATATGGCGAGATGATCGATGAAGTCCCCGGGCTTCTTCCCTCAAAGCGAAGGTGGGCAGGGGCCTGAGTGACAGTGAGCACCGAGTATCCATCTCAATATGAGACCTGGTTCAAGATCTCCCCAACCATCTGATGGCTATGTTTGTTGTGATTTACAGAGGCCAATGTATATATGCAAGGCTTTTGAGCTATCCCTTCCACCAAAAACACAATCCTCGTCTCCGAGTCGATGCTTCCCGTCATTGGTGTGGCCCTCTTGACGTCCGCTTTCAGCGGTGGTCAGGCTCAGACGCTGCAGGCACCGTATGCGACACCTACATACGTTACTCCTTCAAGTGCCCAATGGCCATCGTCTGCGACATGGGCTTCTCTGAACACTTCCCTTGACGGTCGGTTGTCTACTTTGAGACCCTGGGCTGCAGTCTGCTACGAGGGGGACCCCTTGTTCGATGCGATTGCATGTCAAGCTGTCATTTCAGGCTACGGTGTAGACACAACGGTACGCAATTTGTGTATTATCTAATGTGCATTATTCCACTCACGACAGAACGTAGCGTGAAAGTTCTGCGGCCGCTCTGCTTTGGGTTGACTGGGAAGCCTGTGGCTATGGCAACTCATGCGCTTTGGATGGGGCTGACCCTCAGATTATCTCTAACGCGACCTGCGGTCAGGGTTCTACTCCTTCGTATAGCGCGGAAGTCCTGTCTCCTGAAGACATTTCGGCGGTGATCACTTGGGCTACGCAGAACAACGTTAAGCTCACAGTAAAAAATACGGGTATCTATATGCTCTTGTGTGTTTCAGCGTCCTTGTAAAGTTCGAGCTATGTTCATCTAGGACATGATTATGCCGGTCGATCTGCCGGCCCATATACGCTGCAAGTGTGGACACACAACATGAACAACATGACCTATGTTCCGGACTTCGTGCCGCAAGGATCCAGCGCGAGTCCTGTTCCTGCCGTCACCATTGGCGCTGGTGTTCAAGCGGAGAGCCGTAGGTCCTGTTCTAAATTGGTTTGATTCCATGTACTGATGCTTTCTTCGGGCTACGCTTGCTCTCCGCAGTATACGAATTCGTCCTTGCTCAAAATGTATCGGTTGTAAATGGCGGCTGTTTGACGGTCGGAGTCGGTGTGTAATTGGGTTCACTTTCACTTGCGTTTGCTGATGCATGTATCACCAAGCTGGTGGTTACATTCAAGGCGGGGGTCACGGAGTGTAAGTGTTGTTCAGCCATTTTACATAGATGTTAGACGTGTGCTCACCATACGACTGAAGGTTGGCACCCGCATATGGACTTGCCGTATGTGAATTATGCCTGACTTATTGTGTTTTTCGCCTTACGCATGTATCGTTAGGCCGAGCATGTACTTGAGGTCACTGTGAGTGCCAGTTTTTATCATCGTGACTCTGTTTCAGTTCTCTGATTGTATGAACTAGATTGTCACTGCTGATGGAACTATTCGGACGGTCAACGAAGCTCAAGACTCGGACTTGTTTTGGGCAATCCGTGGCGGTGGCGGTGGGACGTATGGCATTGTTGGTGAGCGACGCTGTTCATGCATCGATTGATTCATTATTCATGTCCGCCTCTTTCTCTCCTTAGCATCGATGACAATTGCTACCCTCCCGCAGATGTCTATTGGTGCATCGTTGTTGACAATTGAGCCAAACCAGGCGATGAACAGCTCACAGTTGGCTATAAATTTCATCGCGATGGTTGCTCAGTATGCAAACATCTGGGCCGACGCAGGTATTACCGTTGTGCTACTTCCAGACACGACCAGCTACTCCCTGGTACGCGGTCCGGCATCAGTATTGTTGCCATGTATTAAACGATTTCAACTCCATTAGGACTTCTACTGGCCATCGTCGCTGGCTTCGGTTTCTATGTTCTATCCTATTTTCGAGGACATTCTCGCACAATCGTCATCGTATAATGTCACCTCCAATACTACGTCGCAGACCATGTTTTCCTCTGTTACACAAGCAGAGATCATGGAGATCGGTCCATTCTTTGATGCTGTCAATATTTACGGCATGGCCAACAGGCTCGCGTCTCGCCTAATCCCCTATTACAACATGACTACTTCGGAAGGTCAGACTGCCGTTGCAGAAGCAATTTGGGCCGGTGCGGAGATAATAAACGGTCCATTGACTGAAGGCCTCGCGGGCACATTTGGCCAAGTGCCCCCGCTCATCATCGGGGACATGCCTGCCGCCACAAGGAACCAGTCGAACTCTACTGCCTCAAATCCTGGCCTATATGATGCAGTATGGCATGTTGTCTATGCCACGTCAGTTCGCACCGCTCTGTTCAGTATGACACTTCTTGGGCTAATCGTCTTACTTAGACCTTACCTCACCACTGGTCCCGGTGTGACTCAATCAACTGTTAATCTAGTGCAAAATGCGATCAAGAATGCTACCCAACCTCTCATTGACATTGGTATGGTCTCTTCCTACCAGAATGAAGGTAGTGCGTACGAGACGGACTGGCAGCAAGGTTTGTTATTGCTTTCTTTGAATGTAAATTCGTTGAGACGCTGAATTGATTGTGTCTCATGAAGCGTTCTTCGGATGGAAGTATCCGTTGCTGTCGGATGTTAAGCAAAAGTATGACCCGAAGAACTGTGAGTTTTGTCCGATTCCCATGGGCTAGAAATGACTGACTTTGCCTCGCCAATCTCAGTCATAATGAACTATCAGGTTAGTCACTGTTCAAGCGATTTTGGACTATCCTGACGGATGTTTCCATTGTAGGGCGTCGGCTTCGTGTCGACCCTCGAGCCTTTCACGTGCTGGGAGCAGAATGAAGTGCAGCCGTATTCTAGTGACCAAGTGCCTTATTGAAGTACTGTACTGACCTGATGGCGTTGTCGTTTCCTGGGTGGTAGATCGGTCTCTTCCTGACCATTGCTCGGAGCGAGCCGTGGTTTAAGACACGCTACCAGCATCTGTTTTCGTCGCAACGCTCTCCTGCAAGTAAATACCGTGACTAGTGATAGCTGGAAATGCGGTAACACTGCTGGAACGAAGGCTGTTTTGTAGCTGTTTAGACGAGCGCGTGGGTGGATTAATCCGAACTGAGAATCATGGTGTTGCGTTTTGTTTTTTCTTGCTATGTGGACTTGCATATTAGTTATCATGATTATACGCGCACTGCGAACATGAGCCGCAGGAAATATTCAATAACGAAGATCACATGGACGTCATCGCAGCCGACGTCAGTACACAAGTTCATCGGCAAGTGCTGATATTCCTTCCAAGATGTTGTAGGTTCACTTGATGCAGATTCACAATGATCCCAGTGGAAGAGGAACTTGGCCGTCATTCTGGTCGTCAAGGACAAGTCACATCGGAAAAGAGCGTTCTTGCTGAGAATAAAGAAGTTGACAATGAATACGACCTGCAGGTCACTCGAATTGGCTATCACGGCGGGCTGTGCCTTGTCCCGAACCTGTTTGATAGCCTTTACTGCGGACTCGAATGTGCGAGCACTAGTTTTCATATGGCACCTTAAAATGAGGCGAACAGTCCACGCGTAGGATACAGCCTGCGTAAGCCAGATGAGCCAACACTATGTCGGCGCACTGTACGGGATCATAGCTGTGGGATGGTGGACTTGTAGCCACTTCAAGAACACAGCGGTCACCACAGACGCTGCGCTGGGCCACTGGGCTCTCCTCACGGCGCGGTGACTTCGGGGTACAGAACCGCAGTCCGACTTGATGTCAACACAGAACCAAAGCCCCAGCCTTCGTCCTAATAGGTGTTCACTACAAATGAAATGTGCAACCTGACGGCCATCGAGCCACGTACCGTACAAGGCACTCGGGCGAGAGGCAATGCCCACCGTCAGACAGCGACGATAAATGCGGGATATCATCCCTGTTCTACCGTCTGCCGATCTCCTCAAGGCCGCTCAACTCAAGGTCTAGGAGTCGGAGTATAGAAAATATCAATACTGCCAGGAGACTAGAAGTGACATCACTCACTATCCTCATCGAAGTAGACATTGCGGAAAGCATGGTCCCAGATACTCAACCATATTCTGCAAGCGGATATCGACAGAATGCTCCGCCATCCGCCCAATAAGGTGGCAGTTGATGATGAGCTCAAATAACTGGAGCGGTGCCAGAAGTTAGCACGCACAAGACAGCTGACCTTCCATAAGCTGATCCCCGAGGACCACGAATGACCTAGGACAATTTTGGTGCGCGAACAATAGGAGATTGGTGTTCGTCTTCCTCAAACTCATTAGTAAGACTGAGCCAAAAAGTCTCCCGCAGCGAACTATCTCCCCGTTGCTCAATGAGGCTCAGAGGGATGCTGTCCAAGCAGGCATTGAGGTCGAATTCTGGAGGAGGTCGCGGGTTTTGCGGACAATGCGCAAGGGATATGCTTCGCGGTCGAGGGTAGGTACGTCAGCCAAGTTCCTCGATTCGTGATACCGCCGAGTGGGCAATTTTGTACAGACATTGCTTCTTGACAGGGATCTATAAACCATCTACCGGTAATCAACGATGAAGTAAGATCACCTGTATGTACGCACTCACATTCACGATGAAGGTAGTCTAGAGCACGTAGCAGCTGTTTGATAACGCGCTTCGCGGAGGCCATGGCGAATGGAAGCTCTCAAGATGTCTATCACAGAGTAGATATGACCTCAGCGGGGCTTTTCGCAGTTAGATAGTATCAAAAAGTGAGACAATGCCGAGAGTTTTCACGATTTGTTTTGGCCAATTTGATTTTCCCGAAGACCTCGTGTTCCGAAGACAATTCATTTACGATGCATGCTATAGCATGTGCGGTCAAAATTTTCATAGCGAAAACAAAAAGACTGTATCTCCCTCAAGCATCGCTGTAAATAAATGAGATAGGTGAGCGGTGTTGAAAAGACATATAGGGCGAGCCATACGGTAGAAGAATGAGCGTATCCGAGCCTGGTGCTCTTCACATGTTGGAGAAGTGACAATGTACCTCACGCATGGATTCGTATCGCTGCAATCGAGGACTATATGCGACAGAAGTGGAGGATCCATACCTCCTGTGGAGGCCAAGAAAAGAGGCTCCTCAGAGTTTGCATCACGCCTTGCTCTTGTACTACCTACATGTCCGAGTCTCGGATTAGGACTCTGGTATTGATGGGACGGCGACAGGGTAGTCGATGCCACCATCCGCGGACTCAAAATCGTACGATGCGAAAGAGAAGATAGCGAAGCGATTCATGAGGAGTTATAACAGCGGGCAAGTTAGGCGAGTCGAGTTGAGGAGGAGATACTACAGTAGATATCTCCAAATACTGTGAGCGCCGAGTCCGAAAGCTGACCTGGCGCTTGCCGGTGGCTCAGCGCTCAGCGCTCAGCTCTCAACCGCCAGATGCGCAAGCTTTTACCGTATATTCTAATCCGCAGAGCGTCCTCCTCATCTGCACACCATCCACTATCATTTCCAACAGACACGCACCCTACGCCACATCAAATATTCCATTTACCCCACAGCGCGAGTCGAGAGGAAGTAAAGGCGAGATGTGAGTGTTCGGATGACCTCTCTTACCCGACTTCTGTACGTCTCCGTCTGGACTTGAGCACTATTCTCGCTTGCTATAGCCTGCGTTTGTTCCTACGCTGATTACACCACTGCAAGACTATGAGCTCGTTCGTGTGCACCACCCCGACTCTCCTCACTGCCGCCATCTCTCGCCAACCGAACGACATGCGCGTTTCCAGCGTATCACCGCAGCGTATGATATTCTCCGCGGTCGTCAAGTCGACCCCTACCGTGCAGAGATCGAACGGCGGAGGCGTGCACAACAAGCATGGGCAAGGTCCAGAGCGCGCCGGCATGCTGAATTTGCGGGCGGCTTAGGCGAGAGCTCTGAGTGGGCAGCCGACAGGCGATCGGACGGGATTGGATGGCGAGACAGGCTGATAATCTCTGCGGGCATCCTGGTGCGTCGTCTAGCTTGACTGAGCACACAAAATCGCGGGCGTGCTCAAATGTCCGTCTGGATCCCAGTCTCTCGGTGTCGGTCTCGCACCCATATTCTGGCCGGGTATAGGGGTGGACGACCAGCGGCATCAGGCGGCCGCAGCTAGCCTTGCACAGGCGAGAAGAGAGGCGCGCGAGTATGGACAAGAGCGACGGAGGGAGATCCGGCGTCGAGTGCAGGAGTTCCGAGAGCAGGAGGAAGGCCTGCAAGACGCCGATGCGCCTGAGGACTCGAGATGGCAACGGCCCGAAGAGCAGCATCGATGTTCTGCGCAGAGCAGGCAGCGATAGCACGCCGAGCGCGCGTAGTATTACGACAAAGTTGTACAAGATGATTTATTTTCGCATGCTGCTACTTTCGAGGGAGCTCGAGATCTTCCGGGCCAAAGCTATACGGAAGCAGCTCGCGCAGGCTCGTCTCCTGCACACCACCGTCTAAGATTCCCTGTGCGACTCGCTCGTCATAGTCACCGGGGACCATGTAGATTGGCATGTCGAGCGTGCAGAACTCGCGGAGGACCTGGCGACACATTCCGCACGGAGAAATGGGGCTCGAGACGTCTCTGAGAGAAGGGGGGCCGTCAGCGGGAGGCCGTTTCGGAGAGCGAGCGGGAGAAGGGCGTACGTGACCACGGCGAGCCCAATGAACGCGCGTGTGCCCTCGCTCTGTGAGTAAGACGGCGGGGGTTATTAGTCCACGCTGTGATCCACGCAGGAGCAGACGCACCACAGCCTTGACGATCGCCGTTCGCTCCGCGCAGATGGTGCCCCCTGTTCGCCGTGAACGGTCCGCACAGGGCTGCACGCATGGAAGCCCTCACTCACCATACGAGGCATTCTCAACGTTGGCACCCTTGATAATCTCCCCGCCCGCCGAGAGCAGCGCGGCGCCTACTCGGAACTTCGAGTACTTGCAATAGGCAAACTCCTTTGCTAAGATGTGGTTAGAAACATGCGTGTGCAGAGGGCGAAGAGTGGCTAGATGAGCAGCGATAGCGGTGGCCAGGATCCGGGACGTACCCTCAAAGGCAGCCTTGACTAGTCTCTCTTGGTCAGGCACTGCGAGCACCCAGTTGGTCGTGGCCATGGAGGTTAGAGGCAAGTGCTAAATCGACAACGATGGGTCTCGGAGGAGCGCCGCCCAGGCTGTAATCAAAGTTTATGTAGATCGATCAATGGAAATTCAATCGCGTTAGTTGATGGCGCGACCACATTGCAGTGAATGCTGCACTCAGTCGCAATGCACAGACGTTACAAGACAGATGAGCACTCTGCGGCACTTGCAGGACGTCCTTCAGAGCTCGGCCGTGGCTGCACACCAAATGTAGATCCTTCAACCGCGATTACAACAGGCACTGTCGCTGCCCACATTCAACTAGCCACTCTCAGACAAGCCGATTTTGTTGATTTCGGTGCTACGTATGGTACGCACACACACGCAGGCACGTACAGGACACATTCTTATCGTACGAACGTTCATACAATACGCACCTACATGGGGATATATATAGATACTCTACAGTCCGCTCTGGTCCAGATGCACAAGTGACCGTTTTCGATGTATCGTGGAACAAAGCAATGCGGGGTGCAAGAGTCCAGCCTCTGGAATAGTCCATACAACAGCCTGCACGAGCACGCGCAGGGGCAAAAAAAAAACAGGAGCACTGACAGCGGACGCCATAAATTAGCACATCGC